GATGCTTGCCATAAGCAGATTATTGTATTTTGAAGATTCTATTTTTGAGGAAAGCCACGGAGAAACCTTATGCCAGTCAAGTCTAGGACATGAGGAAAGCAAGGGTTCTTTCCAGGTTCCAAGCAACTAGAGTTCTTTCCAGGTTTCAAGCAACTAGAGTTTATTTTAAAATTAGCATATAGCAGTGTTCCACAATATGTAGAATCAAGTGAAGTTTAGATCCAATACAATCTTGAATCGTGTCAGTCAGCCTCATCCTTCGTCTATGTATGTTGCCTTCAACCAAAACCCGTTGGAAGTTCCTTAGTCTTACAGAATAACGATTGGTTTATGAAAGTATGAAACCAAACAATTTCCTTACTTAGTCTTACAGAACATCCGCTGCCGACACAAAGCAATAGCTCGGAGATCACTGGATGTATGTTTCTCACTCAAAAGTACCTTCCAGTGTTACAGAACCAAACACGTTTTGGCCTTACCAGCCTATATTCATCCACTTTAATTACTATGCCAACACAAATAGTAATTTTTCAAGTGGCTCAGAGATCAGTGAAGGTGTGTTTTGTTTTTCCAGTTAGAAGTACCTTCACATCTACATACAGACTTTGTTTTGTTGTAGGAGAAGAATTCAGACTTTTCTTTTGAACGTAGGGAGAGAAAAAAAAAAACTCAAAAAGCAATTGGTTAATCAATCACCTTCAGTATTATAGCAGACGAAAACAAGATGCATCAACCTTAATCTAATAATGTCATTCGCGTACTCTATTAGTGTCCAATACTACACATTCGCTTGAAGTTTTTAGGATATTTCATTTGTTTACAAGTTCATTTCCCTGTCAGAGCTCAAGGCTAAGAATGACAGTATGACTTAGTTTTCCCCAAAGTTTTAACGATTAGTCCCACATCAGTGAAGGAGAAATGATGAATGACAAAACGTGCGTTTAAAAAATATGCAGGAGATCATTTTAACATACCTACCTGGACGGGGTCGATGGGCGATCAAGAAGGTCCATGGCCTAGGTTGGTGACCTTCATTGCACTTAGGAGGGGTGCCCACTTAAGATATCTCCAAGTGGGATAGTCTACGTCATAACTTGTTGCTATGGGGTACGCGTACGCGCGGCCCCTGCCAATTCTTATACTTCAAGTTTTATTGTCAGATTAATTTAAAGATTGGTTTGTCAATTATTAGATTGTCCTTACTCTAGTCCCACACTGCGGAAAACATATGTCCACGTTTTGTGTTAACCCCCCATTTGTCCAACACCAAATATCCCTAACACAATGTTTTGACTTAACCCCCTTAAAAAAAAAATTATGTTAACACTTACATAAGTCTCAGTTCACACTACGAAGAAGATAGCAAAAGAAAAGGAAGAAGAATGCTTATGCGAACTCGTCACCTAAGTCTCCACACTGTTTCGTCACTTTTCTCTCCGTCTTCTTCTTCGATATCTTCAACATGTTCTATTGGGTTTCCACTTATTCGTTATTTTCAAAAACCTTTCTCAAAGACATTTCATCAAACACTTTCTATTCAACTCTATGTTTCTGTTTCAAAGACAGGAACAAGTAAACAAACTTCACCAATCACCAGATACAACAAAGTTAATTAAAACCCACTCATTTTATTCCACTTTGAGTTGATATTGAGGAAATTAGTGAAGAAATGATTCTTCCTTGTTCAAATATAGTGCTTGGTCCATATGCAGGTCATTCTCAAATTAAACAAGTGGATTTTTTGAAGAGTAGTAGTAAGGCTAAAGATTGTCCTAAAGATGGGTTACCTGAATTTGCACAACCCATTTACACTTTGTATTGCCTCGTGGGATGAACTGTCTTGAAGCGGTTTTTGGGTTAGGAAAGATACTAAAACCATAAATTGTTAGCGATTTTTTTTTCTTTATCGGGAAAAAAAATATAAGTAGCTCCAACATCTCGTGCAAACAGCCATATAAAACATATGTGAGTAAAATTAAAATCTGATAAAGTGGGTAGGATTCTGAAATAGTTTAGCCAAGTTGTATAATCTACAAAGGACATTTTACTTGATAAAGTGGTCAAGTTGTATCATCAGAACCAAATGGAAGAAAATTTGATGCAATCTTTGAAAGTTCGACAATCTAGAAATTTCACTTTTAAACCTTCCACCAATTTCTCTAAAATCAATTCGAATTCTAGTAAGAAGAAGAAGAATGGGGTTGGAGCTCCAATTTCCATTTTAACGGTGGAAATTGAGGAAGAAGAAGAAGAATGGGGTTTTTATTTTTTAGATGGGGTTAAGTCAAAACATTGTGTTCGGGGTATTTTGGTCAGAAAAAATATTTTTGGACGTTAAGTTGGACGACAGTTAAACGGAGGGGGGTTAAGACAACAGTTGGACAAAATGGGGGGTTAACGCAAAACGTGGACATAAAAGAATAAGTATAAATAAAGAAGCAAGGAGCTTATTTTAAGAGATTTTCACTGT